TGTGTGTGTGTTTGGAGCTCTGTGTGTGTGTTTGGAGCTCTGTGTGTGTGTGTGTATTTTGTAACATACTTACATCCAGCTGCCCCTGCAGCACAGCGGGCACACGCACACCAGCAGCAGACTCAGAGCGTTCATGTGTCGGACTCCGCAGCTCCGCGCCTCCATCCCTGCTCAGCTCCGCATGCTGACAGCAACCCGGCCCGGAGCAGGCTCCTGAATCCCGCTGAAGGAGTCCTTTCTCTACTGTGCTCTCCTCGATCTGCAGGAGAGGAGAAGCACCCTGGACCAGTCCGAGTCCCGGAGAGTTCTCATTGGACCAACTCAGGACTCAGCAGCTGACGTCAAAGCTGGGCTATAACTGGCTGGATGGGCTTCATGATAAAAAAACTTTGTGCTGACACCTGATCCCCGAAAAACAAATAAACGACGGAACACAGTAGAAAAAAAATCTAAAAGTGGCTGATTTTTGAATGAGGTTTGGTGAAAACATTTTAGTTATATAAAAATAAAACGATACGGAGGAAATATGCTTTTAATATCTGAGATCAGATTTTATTACAACTGAGGAGAAAACGTGTTTGCTGAGAGTCACTGCTTTTAGAAAGTTCAGCGTTTCTTTTGTAGTGCCTGTACTTAATAAAGATTAAAACTAACTAATAACACAGAAACTATTAAAAACGAAACATTTTTGAAATAATGAAAACTAAACGAGTAAATTCTCCCTGGAAACTTAACTGAACTAAAACGAAAAAGTCAAAATGAAATAAAAATAAACAATATTTAGGAAACAATAACTCTGTTGTTGGATTTTTTGAAGAATGCTTGTCAAAAAAAAAGGAAAAAAAACTTTCTTAAAGCAACTTTTGTCAATATGACCAAAAAATGTAATAAATATAAAACAATTTATTTCCTAATTCTGGAGCTTTCAGCCTCCTCTGTGGACCTCCAAAAGTTATTCAACAACCTAAAATCTGTCCCAAAGATGATAATAATAATAATAATAATAATAATAATAATAATAATAATAATAATAATAATAATAAAGAGAAAAAGATGAGTTTTGTCCACTGATGTTTTATTAAATGTTATAAAGCCATAAGTGAGACGGTGTTTAAAAGACTGAGTCTGTTAGAGTGAAGACATTGTGAGGACCAAGCACTGTGGTTGTGAATGTGTTCACAGTTCAGGATTAAAAACTTTTTTGTTTGACTTTTTGTTTTTTGTATGAAGAGCAGAATGAGCACAGTCATAAAAAATATTAATTTCTTCTGTTTTCAGCTTATAAAAAGACACATTATACATCTGTAGAAAAATATAGAAATATAAGCAGAGTCATAAAAGACGCTTCTGTCACATGATGAAGAGCTTTCATCGAGTCTTTGGAGCTAAAACTGGTCTGACATACAGAATCGATCAATCAGTGAGGCCTGAGGCTAAGTCTGAATCAGGAAGCAGCTGCTTGAATCCACGCTAACTCATATCACTGTCAAACACACGGGCCAGCGAGAAGCAGCTGGTGCAGTCAGCAGAATTACAGCAGAGGATTTTTCTGGTTCTGAAATGGAAAATCCCAGCAGAAGGTCAGAGATTAACAGTCCTGCTGCTGGGACTGAAATGCTGTAAGCTTTAAACATCTGCGAGCAGCAGGAACCAGCTGAGCGCTATCTCAAGTAACTTCTGCTTATTAGAAGCCAGCAGCTGAGTCTGAGACCCTCAGCGTCGCGTCGGATTGGTGCTCCTGAGCTGCACAGTGATGCTTCTGTTCATTCTGAATAATCCACCTCCACCATTGAGTCCCCCACCCCTCTCTGAAGTCCACGTCCTGGAGGGGGACAGGTGACTCTCCCGCAGGATTCACCTGGCCCCTCCTAGGTGTTCAGTTTCGGGTAATGGGACACAGGCGGCTCAGAAGGATCTCAGAGTATACTTGGTTCACTGGTCCTCTAACACGATAGGTTGTGGGTTGAGACCCCGCCTCCTGCTCCGTGTCTGGCAGGGTTGATTGGCTGCCAAGTGTATGTACAGTTGTCTCTGTTCTGGTCGTGTTCGCGGTGGACGTTCTGTCACTGGAAAGTTTTGTGGACCAAAACTTCTCCACCTGAGAAAACAGAGCAGAACATCAGCTGTGAGGCCTGCAGCCCTGACCATTGGAAGCACTTCGTTTGCTGATAAATAAAGTTGTGTTACCTCGTGAAAGTGACAGGCACAGCGTCCCTGCAGGAACTCTTTGTATCGACCCATCGTGATGCTGAACGTGTCAATCACTTCGTACCCATGATGCTTGGCGGTGGTGATGATGTCGTCGTTCTCCCTGTATAGGTCCTGTATCTCTGTCTGAAATATTGATCAAAGAAAGCAGCTTTAATTCCCATAGAGGGGTATGAATGACAGCAGGAACAGGAACCTACCAGACTGAGAGACCTGATACCGTCCACAGGCAGATGGAAGCCCATCCCTAAAGACTTCACCACCACCAGGATGTTACTGAGAGATTCACTGAGGAGGGACAGAAGTAACCTCACGTTACCATAGAAACCAGAGTCCTCAATAACATTGCTAATCCCGAACGCTAAACCCCGGGTTAGTGTCTTTACTGAAAGGGTTTCTCATGTTACAGGAAATGCAGGACTGGAGTACAGGTGAACCTCAGGGATCAGCGTTAGGTCCTCTGTTCTTTAGATCAGTGTAAGCCCATATGGAGATAACACTGTGGTTTATACTGTATGTAGGTGGTGTTACACTGTGTCTCCTCACCTGTCCAGCACTTCACTGACTGTCCTCAGGTGATTGGTGTTGAGCCACTGGACTCCTCCCACCACCAGAACTGTTTGGTTAGAGTTCACCAGAGGCTGAGACCTTAACAGACAAGAACAAGAAAAGTCACCTGTTAAATATCTCACGGCTTCATGTAACATCCCTCAAAAGTGGATTGTTAGGACCTCACCTGTTGAGCAGCTGCTGCAGAGCCTGCCTGAACGTGGGTCGCTGCTTCTTCTCCAGCCAGAACTGAGGATAGTACGAGTAGCTGACCAGAGTCCGTCCTCTGTTCAGGTTCCTGTAGACCAGCGTGTCGTGAGCTTTGCCCCAGTCCTCCAGGGTGGAGTTCACCCTCTCCATCAGGAAGTACATCATCCCACGATTTGTTGAGTCCCCGATAAACAACAGCTGAGGAGCAATGAGAGAGCTGGTGATGTACCTCCATCAGGACGACTGCCACAAACTGAGACATCTGAGATGGACTGGTTCAAATCAGCTGATCAGGTGACCTTACCTTTCTGTCCTTCATACAGTCCTGCAGCAGTGGGTGGTCCACTATTGGGTGATAACAACCATCTGCCTGCCAGGAAACTTCCCTCCAGTCGCACGTCCTGTTGTCAGAACAGCTGAGGCATGGAACAACCCAGCGTCCTGTCAGGCAGGTGAGACACACAGGTGAGGTGGCGAGAACAAAAAGTCACTTGACTTAAATTTGATGTATTATCTTAAGGAAGCAGTCCACTGGCAGGACCTCAGACCTGACACATGTCCTGAGCTGCAGGCATTACGTTGACTCTGGGATTCGCTGTGGGGCTGAAGACCGCAGGAGCGATCCGGCTGGACCAGCAGACCGCAGTCCTGAACAACAGACATCAAACTGTGACAAATTTGCAATCAGCACTTCCAGGAAGTTCTGAACCTCCTGTGTGCGATTTCTGACTGCAGTACTCTGCAAATACTACAAACTGTAAATATAAAATGGCAAATGGACTGGTTCTTTTTTATACTTTATTTTATTGTTTCATATTGTTATTTGTTTTATTTTTATTCTTTTTAATTTTGTGAAAATTAAGCACTTTATGATTTTTATTTCACAGATTTTTATCTGTGAAAAGTGCTATATAAATACATTTTATTAACTTCTTATATAGCATTTTTCTTCTGTATCTGAGCGCTCAAAGCACTTTACACAAATTACCTTATTCACAAGCACTTTTTTCGATGCCCTTTTGTGTAAGTACTTTCTATCTAACATTCATACGCATTCAAACTCCGATGGATGCATCGAAGAGCACACAGACTAGAGCAGATGGGGATCAAACCACCTACTGATAAGTAGGTGATCTGCTCTACCACCTGAGCTACAGCCACCCCAAATAACACACTTTACTACCCAGAACAGTAATAGTGGAGGAATTGAGATGTTCTGGACACAGATGAAGAGAAAACAAAGGAACCCTCAGAGGAAGCGTCAGTCTGAAGTTTCCTTTAAAACCTGAAACTGAAACGAGTTTTTACTATTTTGTTTAATAAACACTTTACAGCTGGTTACATTGGTAAATCGAATAGATTCTGTTTTCTACTCATAGAAAATTACACATGAAAAACTTAAACACATGACTGCACCATCTTTAGTTTTAATCACTGGGTTTGATTCCCTGCAGGGTCAGAGGTCGCGTCCATCCCAGTGAGCTTTGGCCTCTGAAAGTAAATCTGCTGTTTGAGATCTGAAGCTTCTCGCTGTCAAACACCACGTCTTCTTCTTCATGTGCTCGCTGCTTCCTCCCTCAGAGCTTCTCTTTCATCCTCCTTTGTGGATCCGTCCCCGTCCTCCTCTGCTCAGAGGTCAGGAGTCAAGCAAAGCGATCCACGCTCACCTCAGAGTCCCCGTGGGAGCCTCCAGGTCTGGCGCAGACTTCACAGCCACCGCCATCACAAACGCTGGCTCTTCTTCTTCTGCTGCTGTTGCAGGTTTCGTCGTGGCGGCGTCACATTCCTCACGTCAGCGGCACAGCTCGCAACAAAGTGCGACAAGAAAACTTAACAGGGATTTTCTTGTTCGTACCTTTGCTCAGTGTACACGCTGCTCCGAGATCAGCTCCAAACACACCGCCTCCAGCAGCAGCGGACCGTTTGAGGCCTCGCCGCCGCCACGTCGCCCCCAACTCTGACTTCATCGAGGCCGCGGCCACGCGCTCCTCTTCCTCACTCGGACTCAGAAGAGCAATATGAACTACAGCTTTTAAAACTGAGAGAGATGTGAGCCTTTCCTTCTGATCAGAATTTAATTTCTGCTTCAAACTCCATCACAACGCGATGAGAGAGCACAAACGTCACTTTAACCATGGCGACAGCTTTTGTGTAAAAGCAGCAACTGAAGCCTGATGATGTCAGATAGGACGTGCAGTAAAAAATGATTTGCTTTGTCAGAATCATTTTTATAACTTCAGAGGCAGGGCTTTTTGCCTGGATGATAAAAGAAAACTGTATTTTATTTTTTTAAACTATCAACTGGGAGTTTAAATATGCAAATATAATAAATAATTAATAATAAATAATAATAATAAATAAATAATCTCGTGTCCACAGGATAGTTAATATGACAAAGGTCAGAATCGTAATCAGACATTTTCATGTTCAGTGAAAACAGACGGGTGGTGCTGAGTTGATGAAGCTGATATTTGTGCAGCCACACAGAGCTGATAGAGTGCCACAGAGCAAACGCCAGATCACAGGTCTGAAACACTCGTCAAACATTAAAAACTAAATGAATTTGCAAATGAATGTGTTCTCTTTGCGAATGGCTGTTTTTTTTGATGTGTCAGAGTGCCGTAATTTCCTGCTGATAATGAATGTGACGTGCTGTTTCATGCTTAAACCTTATTATTATTCCTAAACAGGTTAATTTTTTGGATATTTTATCAGTTTGTAAACAATATTTTCCTTCATTTTGGAAATCAAATTTTTGATTTTTGAGTGCAGTTTTTATTTTCAGTAAATAAATATTTGATTTTTTTAATGATCACACTATAGTTCATTTCACATACACTAGACGTTTATGATGTACATTATTTACTATTAAATAATTTCTAATAAAACAAGAATAGAAACAGGGGAGACCAGGTATGGTTATAACATGGGAAGAGTTGCAGCGGCAGGAGTTGCACCCATTTGGGATGAGACATCAGGGTTCACCCACTTCTATCCCTGATTTTAAACGGGGGTTGTCACAGGCATATGCGGATATTACTGAGAAAACAAGAACAGGAAAATATTTTTTTCACACAGCTGAAGATTAAATATGATATGACTTAGAGTACATTAGTACTTAGTGAAGCACTTGCTAGTTTCAAACCACTATGCTAATACAATTAGCTAAACAATGACTGACAGGGGTGGGGTGGATTGTAACATGGAAACATGGACCGAGAGGTGTACCTGCTGATATTTGACTGACAGATCAGTGATGAAGGAACACAATGAGCTGATACTGCAAATTACTGCAAACGCTGACACAACAGCGGCCCAACAATCTTCCCCGTACTGGTTACAGGAGCAGTAATAAAGTTTTCTGTGAGGCACAGGAGAACCAGCCAAGCAGCAGACCCGTGTCATGGACTGACTCCACGTCAGGCAAGATGACAAGGCAGAGAATACTAGCATAGCTGCCTCAGCAACAGAAAAGCTTTTTGTGTCAAGGTACATTAAGTGCTATTCTTTCTTTGTTTCAGGTTCAAAAGACAGACGAGGAAGGAGAAGCAAAAATGCAAGAAAGAATATGTCAGTGAGGAATGAAGGCAAAGAGAAGCAAAAGAAGAAAAACCTGCCACAGAAGTGTCGAACTCTAACGCTGCTGAGACAACTTGTTATAACATGGCACCAATCTGCACTTCAGGACAACCAACATCCATTTATCATAACTGTGAAAGGGATTAAGAATGTACACACACACTGGCACTGATTTTTATACACATAATAAAAAAGCTTTCAGACCTAAATGCTTTTCACACGGTAACTGTTCCTTAAGAATTCATACTGTCACGAAAGTTTGTTCTAGTACGGTACACTAATTTACACAAAGCGGTGTGTTTGAGTCGTAGTTCAACACCATGTTCTCTGTTTTTGCTTCTTTTATTTAACAGCTAACGCTGGTAGTGTTGTAACAAAGGAATGCCGCGTATTAACCATGTGAGAATGTGTGTGTGTGAGTGTGAATAAATAAAAGAGAAAAAGACAAACTGCTGAACATGAAAAGAGGATTCTGAGTTTTTTCTCCGCCTGCAGGAATGAGGTGTGGGTGGGGGTGGGCTGTTTGTGTGGTGTCAGCTGGAATCCATCATAGAGGAGCAGAAACACTCCGATAATCCTCCCATGTGATTGCAGAACTGATCTCAGGTCTGAGAATCTTGGTAAATCCGGATCAGCGCTCATTAGATCCTCTGAGCCGCCGCTGCCGCCTCCTGTGGGAAACTCAGACCTCCAAACGGAGCAGTGGGTGGAGATGGGAGAGGAGGAGGTCTGACCAAACCAATTGAGAAGAATCAAACACACACACAGCAGTCCAAATACATTCAAAGGAACATCTGCAGCAACATCTGCCTGCTGACGGGGTTCATAACCGGAGAAGTGGAGGTGTGGAGGCATTCACACAAGATGCTTGGACTGAACCATTAGTGCACATGCAGGGGGTAGGCTCATGCAGGCCTGTAACCCAGAGCTGGGGCAGAGGTGGACATGAGTGGGTAGAGACAGCTGGACTCAGACCAGCGCTTCAAAGGGCTCATCAGCTCTGAGGCGGGTGGAGGGCGGAGGGCAATAGCAGAACACGGCATTGAGGAAGATCACGACAACGAGCAGTGGAAGATGCAGACTTTATATACACAAGGCAAATGAGGGAACAGAGCACAGCTAAACATAGTCTAACTAATAAGACAGGGAAGCCAAACACAACATCCTGCACACAGGCCAGGAGACTGTCAAAGTAAAAACCAAGGTAAGAGCGAGGGACAGAGAGAGAGAGAGAGAGAGAGAGAGCGAGGGAAGGAGAGAAAGACAAACAGAAATTACCAGACATGTTGGGCTACACAGTGAAATAACAGGGAAACAGACAACTTAACATGGAGACAAGACTGAGTTCAAAGAAGGACACTGGGACAGGAAACTAGACACAAGAGGACGGGGAATGAAAAAAGAAAACCTCCGATAACAAGCTGAGATCTGGGGATACAAACAGATATCAGAAGTATAACCAAAACAAGGACCATCACCTCAGAATATTATATAAACCAAAATCAAAAATCCAAAAGAGAAAAAATCCCGGTACAAAACCCAGGATCATGACAGGTGAGGGCGGAGGCGGAGGGCAAGCGCGGAGCTGGGTGCAGCTCAGGGCTTGGGAGTGGCTTTGTGGTCGTTCTCTGAGCTCAGCTTCATCTGAAAGTTGATAAATAAGCTGCTGCTCTGCGTTTCCACAGAAACAAACAGGCCTAATGGGATCACGCTGCAGACAGGAGGTCAAAGGTCAGAGAGTCACAGCCAAAACATTTTGTTCTGTTTAGGTTACGAATGAAAAGCTGCTTCACGCTAGCGCTCCACATCCCACACAGTCCAGAGAGGGAGGAGGCGGAGCCTCCAGAGCATGATGTTTCTGATACTGATCCATCAGCTCTGGCTCACCCGCCTGCAGAGACAGGCTGGAGGTCTGAGACGTGCTGGTGTGCGCAGGTGTTCTCAGAGAGATTCACAGGTGAGATGTCCTCACAGAGCTCCAGCATCACAAACACATACAACAATGAACCCCCACCCTGCTGTCTCTGAGCCGGCCACTGTTCAACATCGTCTTTAGCAGACCAATCAGG